CCACAATATCAAGAAAACATTGTGCTTTTGTAAAATAAAGAAAACAAATAGGATGCGCTTGCCGTCTCGGTCTTGAACAGGAGTGCTTCACAAAAATTAACCGAAACTCAGCGAATACATGCCTCACAGACACGATAAATATATCTATAGAAAGCTTTAAATTACTACTTAACGAAATAAAACACATCAAATACAAAAACTCTTTCATTATAATCATAATCCGTAAAGATGTACTTCTCTCAAAAGGCGCGTCTGAGGAGATGGCGAGTCAGGATCGACAACTTCATCCTTGCGACACCGACTCAGAAAACACTAGTTTATTAGATAATTAATTCAAATATCTCCTTACTGTTTCCCCCGGACACATTCATGGTGATTACTTTTGCCGGTGCTTTGCGGCAAGCTTTAGCCTATTGCGTGCGTTTGAACGCTGACGGCACGCACCATACATACTGCTGCGCAGTGTTGCCAACTGCTTTCAATTGAAAGTAGCTAAAACTGGTAGCTAAATGTCAGTAGATGACATCACAATGGCAAATTCACTGATCTATATAAAGATGAACATAGATCAGTGGGCAAGATGAGAACTTAGATAAGGTTTGTCCAAGCAGTTGCTATATTTGTCCCTAAACTTTTGAAAAAAGTCTCAAAAGGGGCGGGGAAGTCGCTAAATCTAGCTACAAAGTAGCTAAATTGGCAACACTGGCTGCGGGACACTAAACACCGTAGAGCCGCTCTTGACAGTCGCAGCAGCACAGTCTCGTGTTGTTTCCACCAGCGCGGCAATTTTTTCATCACTAATTGATGGATGTCTAAAATATAAAAATAAGGAGAAGGCTAAAACAGGCCCGAGGCCCGGCCCGCTTTTGAACTATGACGTGAAGATTGGAAGCCCGAAGCCCGGTCCAAGAGGCGTAAAAAAAGTCGGGGCCTGTCGGGCCTGGGCTGAAATGCAGGGCTCTAGCATGATTAGCAAGTGGCTAGCAAGTCGTTAGCATGACTAGCATGTCGCTAGCATGTTTCTAACATGATTAGCATGTTATTAGCATGATTAGCAAGTTACTAGCATGATTTGCATGTTATTAGCATGATTAGCAAGTTACTAGCATGTTTTGCATGTTACAAGCATAATTAGCATGCTACTAGCATGTTGTTAGTAATTTTTCTATCATGATTAGCATGTCGCTAGGATAGATAGATTGTTGGAGTTTGAATAGTGTTGGCTCATCTGAACATTCCATCAATGTAAGTCTATGGGATTTTTATGATTTAATGATCAGTTTTATGAAAACCATAAGTCGGATCAGTCTGAAAAGATATAGCAACCCGAGTCAGATCAGTCTGAAGATCTGGTCTGAGTTTGGTGGTTCTAGCTTGAAAGCTCTAGGAGGAGTAGCGTTCAGAAATGTAGTCTCAGAAGAATAATAATAAAAAGCTTAAGTAGCAGATCAGTAATTAGAGCGTGAAAATAGAGCACTTTAAGTACATTATGGAAGTGCACTTGTTTTTCTCCTGGGATTTTGAGCATACATCTCGCAATTCAGACTCTTCTCATTATTCTGCCTTTTTCTGATAATTCTGAGTTTTCATCTCGGACTGCGGTGCAGATCTCCCGTTCTGGCACGATTCGAGGAGGATCACAAACGAAACACGCTTTTGTGTTGTTATTATGTGAGCTGCAATGAATGCGAGCAACTGCTTTATCTCACAGAGCAACACCGTTTGAAATGCCCCGGATTTATTTGGCAAAACAAACAAATGAACAAAACCAGCCTCGTTAAATATAAAAGACGTTTTAAAAGGAAAAACTCAAAAATCTCAAAGCCCTTGAATGTTTGGGCTGTGTTCACATGCAGTCATCGCTGGATAACAGAACGTTTCTACGAGACCGATCTCCTCCAAGAGTGTCAGGAACGAACAGCTTCACGTGAGCTCCTGGCTGGTGACCTTGTTGATGATGTGCGAGCGGTGAGGAACGCTCTCCAGGTCGAACATGCTCTCGTAGATGGTGGGGCAGATCTTCCAGCGGTTGTTGCGGTAGATGCCCAGGTACGAGTAGACGTCGGGTTTGTAGTAGAGGACGCACTTGACGCCGGCGGCGTGGATGACGGCGTCCAGACGCATCACCTGCTCCTCTTCGGTGAAGTTCTGGTTGTAGACGCAGATGACGTGTCTGGAATCGGAGCGCGGGTCTCTGGGACTCACTTTGGCCGAGTCGATCTTGCCGTCGAGC